CCAGTTTGTCCTCAATCTGGTTAGCAAATCAAGATTAGGCACAAATATACCTGAATCTTGAGGTCTTTGACCTAGTCGTTTAGTCTACTATGTAGTGTAAGGTGAAGTTTAGGTCACCAATTACCTTCTCTCTAAAAATTAGTTTTTGTTTTTGGGATATTTGTGCAAAGCTACTCAAGGGACTATTAATATCGTAAAGTTAACTATTTATAAACACATTCGCTAAAAGGCGTATATTTAAATTTAAAGTATGTAATGATGAAAGTTATTATTTTAATGTGATAATATTAATAGTAATTCCAACGTATTAAACTATTTAAAGGCTTTTCTTTGCTTAACCCTGCGATTATCATAACAGCTAATATGTAAGGGTGATTTGTTTGTTTTGTTGAATTTTGCACAAAGCTACTCCAGAGCTATCTACACCAGCAGTTCCTAATTTAGAAGTGATAGAGGGAAAGCAGCTGGTCAACATCACCAACTGCCAACTCTTGGGCTACTTTCTACCGACGAAATGTGAGACTTACTGTCACATTATAACACCTCCACAGCTAAAAGGGAGAGAATGTTCCGTTACGGGATTCGAAACCGCGACCCGCGGCTTGTGATTCGAGTGCCCTAAGAACCAGGCTATGTAAAGATGAAGGTTGAGGATTAAGATCATGGGTGGTTACTGTACTATATTTTGAAGTTTGGTAGTAGCTGTTCTGATATCATACAGTTGTAAGGTTCAAAAGTTAACAGTGATAATTACAATTAAGGTTATCTGGCCATAGACAGCAAATGATAGTAAAACTCAGAACGTCATGGGTTTAAAGTACCGGAGCGTGTGCCTCTGATTTTCTGATTTGTTTTATTTATTTCTAATGGTCAGGCTTTCAATCCGAAAATTTGAATTATCTGATAGATGGAGTATTCTCAGTTTTCTTTCAGTGTTATTACTGAGAATAATTATTTGTAAATCATTCATTCGAAATTTTCAGTGTTTTGAAGATTTTTGTTAGATATTGAAATTTTGACGTAAGGTTACTCTTCAAAAATAAAAGGTGGTGCATTTAAATTTAGGAAATTTTTATACATAGAATACACACACTCATACATACATATATAGAAATAGGGTAAGATAAATACTAATTTTTGTGAAAAAGAAAAAGTAACGAGGAGATAAATACTTTATAAAGCAACTGTCAGAGCAATAAGCTTGCTGGCTTATAACTCCACATACCTAGGTTTGTCATCACCCCGAGGAGATAGTCCATTATGGAAACTTGTGTATTAAAAGACAACAAACAATGATCAGAAATATAGCGCTAATACTTCTGGCCCGACACACTCACAAGGAAACATAATCCAACTGGACTAGTCATATTTTTTGCCTGGAAGTATATGAAAACTTGTTTTCATTTATTCTGTTTTTCTCGTACAGAAAATACATCAAATCAGGAGTACGGCAAAAACAAATTTTTTTTAAATAGTTTACTCGCTTAACATAGAAAATATTGTCTTCAATTTTTTGTTTTTGAACACTGTAGGAAAATAAGAGATATATTCTTAATCTGCTTATTAAGTTCACTTTGTGTTTTCACATGTGAAATCTATACGAAAAAAAGTCACTTCAGAACCATTTCTGAAGCAGTTGTCTCAATATAAATCATAGTTAATCTTCCCAGGTAAATACATCACAGTCACTGGAAAACATTAGTAAACATTATAAGTTATTAACTGACAGTTGAAAGGAGTGGCTCTGAAACATCTTTCTCACTGAGGTCATTGTATACCTCACAGAGGTATACAGCAGTAAGTTGTGGATGTTTTCTGGTGAATACAACATTATCTCATAGTCAATACACTTTTTCATTTGATGATATAGATCCTGGAATTCTATAGAGAGAAATACAAATATCTGATCCTATAACAAAATAAGGATTATCTTACTTATAGAAAAATTAGATGATAAAATAATAAGTGTTCAGAAGTACGAAAAAAGTTTTTGTTGTTAGCATTTCTATATGTAATGGAGAAGTACACAAAGTCTGGTATAGACGGGTGGATTTCTGAGATTTTCTTGAAATCCTTTTAATTCTGAAATAAAAAATGATATACATACAACTTGCCGATCTAATGTCTTTTCAATGCATCCTTCAATAGAAAAGTTAAAAACTCTATGGTGCTGGGGTGCTATGCTAGTACTGAACTATTTCTGCAGTAGCTGATTCCACCAAAATCAATGTTAATCCTCCTGGTAAAGTTGATGGTTGACAGCTTGGATTAGAATTTAGGCTCTCTGTTGATAAGATTTTACAGTGATTCTTAATATAGTCAATCCTTTGATGATACCTCTGAAAGTGTCATGTTGTTTGTTATCAACATCTTGTTGATAAGATTTGCTGTCAAATAAATAACACACAGGATTTGTGCAATGGAGTCCAATGCATAGGTGTTTGATAAACTTCAGGTCCAAGTGAAGTGCATTCATGAGATGTGGGATACTGCATGATTTTCGAACGTTTTTTATTAACGATTTAAAAGAGTGCTTAAGGGAATAATGTCCACCTCTACTTGAAACCCTATAAGTTGATAACCCTGCTAGTAATTTATTTTAACCTTTACTGCTATATACTTGTTCACAATTATTTGACTAAAAAATGGCTTAAACTTTGATTTTAACGTTAAGTATTATTGAAAACGTAATAACATTCATTAATTTTGATTTCAGACCTTGTTCGCTTTCTTATAGTTTTGAATTTTCATCTGCAGTCCGACAATGCCTTTAACTACCTCCGAGCCTTGTTCTCTCCTCTCCTCCAGCCTTATGTTTATTGTTATTTCATCGTTTTGATTTGTTACCTTCCTAATGCACCGCTAACGAAGGAGTTGTCCCATTCACCAAAACGATCGTAACACTAACAACTAGCATTCATACAGACGTTAGTGTTTTCATTAGCGAGGACTAGCTTCATGAAGCAATAATTTTAACAACAAATTATAATTAAATAAGTTTGTTTACTTATGAATTCAAGTTTTATTATTCAGTTTACATGGTAGGCAGTTCCCCTAAGTCAACCTTTGCCTTTTTCACACCTCTTTACCCCCTTCAATTCACGGAAGCTAGGGTTGGAAACCAAATACGGGAATATTTGTATAATAATCTGTACCTATGTTCACCATAATTCCAGTTACTACTCAAACACTGTTTGAGAGCTAGTACGCAGTTATACATAAGTAATGGCTAAATAGGTTATTGAATCTTTATTTTAAGGTAGTGTTTTGACTATACAATTGATAATGATGATATAGTGGGTGTCTATATACACACACACACACACATATATATATATATATATATATATATATAATGTTCATATATGATGTTCATGTATATGCGAGAGCACTAATGAGCAAAAATTAATAACATAATGGGAGTCATAAATTTCGTACGGGGGAGGGGGCGCGGCAACCGTGTAAAGTCCCTTCGATTTAAATGTTGAGTAGCGCAAAAACCGTTAGAGCACTAACGACCGACCATAAACCAGTTTGTTTGATTTTTTGGAGATAAGCACAAAGCTACAAAATGGGCTATCTCTGCTGCGCCCCCCACGGGTATTGAAACCCGTTTTTTAACATTATAAGTCTGGAGACGTACTGCTGTGCCACTGAAGAGTTTCGCACAGAGCTACTCGAGGGCCACCTGCGCTGACTGTCCCTAATTTATAACTCATAGGCTAAGAGTGAAGACAGTTCGTCAATACCACACATCAACGAATAGTGGAATTGACTGTCACATTATAAAGGATCCACGGCTGAAAGGGCGAGTAGGTTCAGTCACCAGGCCGTATCAGCACCACAAACAATTATGAATGACACGTTAGTGGTCGGAAACTTCACAGATATGCAAGGGGGAAGTACACTGCCCCAGAAGAAACCCTTTTACTTGCATATTATCTTGCAGTTCAAGCACCGTATGACTATATCTACATACTCAAGTAATCAACTGACATAGCACGTGATCAGTTAAATACAACTATACAGCGTTTTACACGTGCGTGTTTGTAGGCCTCAAGTTAAACATCTGTATTCATCAAGGGGTGTTAAAAAAACATTGTTCAGACATCCACTTCAAAATGACATACACAAGTTTATTTGGGTTTAAGCTCAAAGCTACAGAATGGGCTACCTGTGCTGTACCCATCGCAGTTATAAACCCCGATTTTTAGAGTTATAAGCCTCCACATTTACCGCTGAGACACTGGGGAGAAATTATCATACATAAGCAAGAAGCAAAATAGAAAACGAAAACAATTGCAATGGTAAAAAAAAAGTTGGTGTTCAACTATGATTTTAAACTCGTATATCAATATTGTGGAAAATTTTTAATTTTACGAATTTATATGACATATGATCCCCTAATTCATTTGTGGGAGCTTTTGGGTCCAATACTGGAGATTTTGGTGAGACAAATGTCACATAGCGAGAACTCAAAACATTGCCCAGGGCCAGAACCCAATTGTGAACTATAGAAAAGTGCATCACCACAGAGTTTTAAGGATTAGTATTACAATAAATATCTCAAGTATTTAATATAATTTCTCTTCTCTGTCAGATATCAACAAAATAACAATTAAATTAACCTTTTTCAAAATCAAAATTTCTGATCATCAACAAATACATTAAAACCATAACGCATAGTTGTGTTGAAGAGAAAGGAACGTTTTCACCAACTGCTTTCAGTGAAAGTATGTACACAGTTAAGTCTACCACATGCTAGAACATCTTTTTTGCTGTTGTTAACTAACATCTACTTATCTTTGTCTAATAACTTGTAGAAAGCTCTTACTCTATTATTTTAATATTGTGTAACAGTAAAATAAATTAAATAAAAAGTATATGCATCCTTTAAAGTTAACAGAGCAGACTTCACCAACCAACACTACCAATTTATAATATAAAACGAAGTGCCAAGGAGGTGTTAACATATTTGGTATAACTATTTCTTCCAACAGGACAGGAGGCAAGAAGAGTTGTGGAAGTAGACTGTTTTTGTTTGAAACCTTTTGACAAAAGAACTATGAAAGCAACTAGCCATACAGATGAAAAAACCGAGAAGACCAGAAGAAGGTAAAAGAGGGATAAAAAAAAAGGTTTAGTTTTCTCTACAAAATCGAACTGATACCATTATCAAATCAGCTGATAAAAGGGGTGCGTGGCATTACGATTTATACATTGCAGAATCACATAATCTTTTATCCAATCAAGAGTAATATACCGAGCTAAACGATGGTCCACTTGAAGCACACCAAACGACTGTAATACACATCATTAATGAGTTGATAGCCACTGATGGCCTACCTACTGCTGCCAAAGACCAAGAACTCCTTTATTGTACGTCATTCCTAAGATCTATAAACTTGATAGCCACTGATGGCCTACCTACTGCTGCCAAAGACCAAGAACTCCTTTATTGTACGTCATTCCTAAGATCTATAAACTTGATAGCCACTGATGGCCTACCTACTGCTGCCAAAGACCAAGAACTCCTTTAATTGTACGTCATTCCTAAGATCTATAAACTTGATAGCCACTGATGGCCTACC